CTGCTGGAGCTTGACCTTGCGTTGGCCACAGGAGTGGGGCTCCTGGCTCCAGGAAATTACTATGGGGGGCCTTAATATTTAAAATGGGGTTTTGGGATGTATTATGCCATAATTATGAGAAGGAGCCCTCCAAAATAGAAAAAGGGAAGTATTGAGGCCCCGATATTACATGCTGACATGTCGCAAAGTGCGTCGCAGCCCAAGAACTCGAATTGCCCCTCCTGCTCTCGGCAGAAGCTCCTGTTCGACGCTGTAGGAGTCTGCTGGCAGTACTGATTCTGATACTACTATGAATGTTAAAGCAGTCGCCCAGCCTGGCGGCGAAGCGCTGCCGGGGATCTGCGCAGCGAACGAGACACTCATCTTCAAATATGAAGCCTGGGACATGAGGATTTCGGCTTGGTCTTTGTGCTGCAGGCTGTTGCACGCGTGACTTGTTGCAAGTATCCGGGGTTCATATCTGCCTATGCCGTACTTCGCCAGCAGATTTCAAGCCCACGAAGAACGGATTCTGCGCATAGTGCCCAGCCGATGCTGTCCTTCAATCTTGAGATCATTAATTACGACGTTGGAGCACTAAGACATGCGATGTTGTCCAACAGCGATGCCGCCCACATCCCCAATACGGAGCCGAGACTCCATCGGAATCCTCCGCGTCCGAGTTGATGGCACAGCCGCTCACCTTCAAAAACACTCTAAGACTCTAAGAGAGATACGGAATTCGGAGGGTCAAGAGCAGAACGCATGGCGCAGCTTGGCTCTGCTGCTTATTTGATGAGGGACATGTGGTATAAAATCAGGGAGAAGTGGATGATCAGCATTGCGAGCACGACCATCAGCAGGATGCAGAGCATGCAGACAAGAAGACAATAAGAATCATGACGATGATGTTATTGAAAGTCAAAGATTTCGTTTAATATTAATACCAACTCATCCAAATTGTTGCTATAGTTGAATCCATGGCATTGAAAAAAGTGGTTGATGATGCACATAAGACAAGGTCACCGCCTTCACGATCAGTTGTGGTCGTGGTAGCGGTGTATGATGGAATAAATAGTACGGATAGGTACTGGTTGTAGTGGCAGAAGTGCAGCAGAAGCATTTGCAGTAGCCGGCGTTCTTGTACACACCAGCAGTAGCGACAGCCGTCGAAGACATACACGGTCGTAGCGTAGTGACACCAGGACCCAAAACAGGCCAGCTGGCAAGTGGCGCCACTGGTGATACCAGTCGAAGCAAGTCGTCGTCGTAGTCGCAGTCGCAGCAGCAGTAGTAGTAGCAGCAGTAGCAGTAGTAGCAGTAGTAAGAGTAGAAGTGGTCGTGGTCGTGGAGTCGTGGCCGCAGCCGCAGTCGCAGCAGCAGTAGAAGTAGTAGTACCAGCAGTAGAAGTAGCTCTAGTAGTAGTAGTAGTAGTAGTAGTAGTAGTAGTAGTAGTAGTAGTAGTAGTAGTAGTAGCTCTAGTAGTAGTAGTAGTAGTAGTAGTAGTAGTAGTAGTAGTAGTAGTAGTAGCAGCAGCATTGTAGTAACATTGTAGTAGTATTGCAGTAGTTGTGGTGGCCGCAGCAGCAGCAGCAGCAGCAGTACGAGAGTAAGTAGCAGAAGTAGCAATGTCGCTGTCATGGTGACAGCACTAGCAGCAGCAGCAGCAGCAGCAGCAGCAAGAGTAGAACAGGCTGTTGCTGCATACTGACTTTACATGCCATTCCTCAAGCACTTTGGGTTGGGGTGCTGATGGCTACTAATATAATGTGGTCGCTTGATGCTTTTTGGAGGATGCAGCCGGACACCAAAGTCTCGCCGGGCAGAGCAGAAACCACTTTGCTCACTCCGAGTGGCATCGTAGGCAGTGAGTGCTAGTGACCTTCACGGGGCAGCGGGAATGTCGCGAAAAAAAGCTGGGTGTGCAATACTGTCTAGAAGCCGCTAATAGAATAACGATCGACTTTCCAAGCCCTACAGTAGCGCAAGAAGTAAAGACCCTCGCTTTCCAATGATTTGGCAAGCTGTGCCCGGCCCCAGTCCTACATCGGCCCTTCAAACTAGTTGCACGTGTGTTGGTCCACTGAGCTAGGTTGTGCATGAACTGCTTAGTGGCTGGACCAAGCACCTACGGCTGGGAAGCCAGGCTCAGTACACGTGCAAGAGTGTGTCGAGTAAAACTCCAAACACATGATGACAAACAGCTCCCGAAGATGATGACGCCTAACTCTGCTACGCAGCCCAGATGTGGCAAGTTCGGACTCCTGCCCATGTAATCTGTTGCTCAACGAGACTACGGATTGTTGCTCACTGCTCAAACCTCTGCACAGACATGTTCTGTCTTTCCTCGACATAATCGTAGGTTTAGCACCCGAGACGAGTATCATGTCGTTCGAAGGCCAGGAACCGTCAGGGCAACTACGGAAACCCGAAGAGTCGAAACTTTTGCCACTGGCGAAAGGCCACCATGGCTCTGCCAAGGCGCGCTTCTGGGAGTCGGCACCGTCTGCGCGGCAGGGTCCAGAGCGTGCCATCACCTCAGCAAGCATCGGAGCAATGTTCGGAGATGGCTGCAGAAGTCGAACGATGCCATTGCATGGACTTGCCGAATGTGGCAGTGCTATGATGACTACTACTACTACTGCTACTACTACTACTACTACTACTACTACTACTACTACTGGTACTACTACTACTACTACTACTACTACTACTACTACTACTACTACTACTACTACTACTACTACCTACCACCTACTACCTACTACCTACTACCTACTACCTACTACCTACTACCTACTACCTACTACTACTACTACTACTACTACTACTACTACTACTACTACTGCTACTACTACTACTACTACTACTACTACTAACGCTAACTACTACTACTACTACTACTACTACTACTGCTGCTACTACTACTACTACAACTACTACTACTACTACTACTACTACTACTACTACTACTACTACTACTACTACTTCTACTACTACTACTACTACTACTACGACTACTACTACTACTATTATTATTATTACTACTACTACTACTACTACTACTCCTACCGACGCTGCTAGTTGATCGCTGCGTTTTCGGGCTTGGGCTAGGTTCGTTAGGATTGACGGTTCATGTTCTGCTTTAAGCTTAGAGCTTGCATTTAGGCGGGGTTTAGGGTTGAGTGTAAGGTTTAATGTACAGAAGCATGCGCTATCTTATGGGGCTCATGGCTTGCGTGTGACCCCTGGCCGCTCCAGCACCAACCCCACCATCTAGCGGCAACAGCTCCGATCCCTATCCACACGCCAGCCCCCTCACCCTACCAGGCACCATACCATTGGGGGGGGCTGGTGAACTAAAGCAGAATCTGAACTTAATCTTGCTACGCTCGCTTTCGCGGTAGCCCAGAAGACAAGAGTCGAACCTCAAAGAAAGCCATTTCAGCATGACGTTGGGATGCTTACTGCATTGGCGAAAGCACAGCATGTCATGTGTTCCATGTTGACAGCACCCCGCCTTCCACTGCAGCAATCCTGAAAAGCGTCTCAAGGAGACTCCCACATGATCGTTACAAGCTCTTGTGTAAAACGCATCTCAGCGTCCGCAACCTTCGGTGCCTGAGGCGCCAACAGCTCTGCGCCCGTGCTCCGCTGCTGTGAACGCGTGGACAGCAACAAGCAGCGATTAACAGCCGAACAAACAGCAATTAACAGCAGGCTGAGCCACAAAGTTCGTTTGTGGACGGGCGCGACTTGCACAGACAGTGGGGGCTTCCTTCACATTGCACGCATGGTGGACAGCAAGGAGTTGCAGAATGGAGGTGGCAGTGACCAGTCCCGGGATTGTGGCGTGGCCCCGTGGCCGCAAGCGACCGGCGTTCACAGCCTTTCTTTTTTCACTGTGTGCTCATTATGCTGGCTTCCTACGGCCTACGCGTGAAATAATTTTACCGCGCGGGGCGTTCTTCCCAGGCGCCATGCAATGGCTTTGATTGGTTCTGCGCCTGCCTGCGTGCCACGACATTGAAAATGAGACCTATATGCCTACGTGCAAGCATGCGCAAGCGCTACACAGAGCCTATGCCGTGCCGACGCAACACTCCCTATATGAGGCCTGAAATTGTCAAGCACTTTCGTAGCCCCGGTATTTCCTACCATCTCTTCAGTAATCATGCCCTCAAACCTTGCACTGCGCCCCCGCACGCTTCCGCAAAGGTGTTTTTACTCGCAGCATCTGCCGCTCATGATTTAAAAGGACCTACATGGTTCATAAACGTTCCTACGCAGACCTAGGCCCTACAGGCAAAAAAATACGCGGCCGACTTCCAATGTGCACTTTCCCATCAAGCGCTGCGAGCAGAGACTACCAGATCAACATATAATCACATTATGCAAACCAGTTGTTGAGATGGTTCAGCATCAAAACGTCCATGGGAAATCATGCCACAACAAATTAGGAAAAAGACCCAATGCTTTGCTTCTTGAGGCATGACGGTACCACAGCACCGTCACAACAATCTAATTCATAAGAAAACATACACCCGCGTACAACGGTCTTGATGCAAATGCGCAGGGTAGGTCTGCCAGTAGGCTCGAGTCACTTTCAAGGAGGCATCTTTAGGCTTCCTGTGAACCGCAGTGTGGGACACCAAAGGAGCTGCAGAATGCTGAGGTGGCAATGGCAGTGGCTCTATATCTCTACCTTAAGCACCCAGACCCAACTAAAAAGTCGGCGGACACCTGCAACACGGGGCCTTGCTTCAAAACCCGGGGTTTGCCTTTTTCGGAGAATCAGGCTTGAAGGGGAAACCTATTGAATCCGAACCCTTTCAACAAGAATCCAAAAAAAACATGCGCCTGAGAATACTGGAAGAAACGTTGTAATGACTCTTCATTGAAGCTTGCTAGATTCCGGAGTTACTACTCGAAAAAACTGTTTCGGAACTGCTCTTGTCTCAATGTCGCTACTTGATGGCACTACTCGGAAACTCATTGTACGATCGCACTTCCGTTGTGTTTTACCGGCGTCGCGTCTCCACCAACAGTCCAGCCTTCACCCATTCAGAGTACGAGTTCTGGAGATGCCTCTCAAGCACACGCTGTATCACTGTTTGAGCCGCGACTCGACGGCTCAGCCTTGACGGCTTGCCGATAAAATCTTCAGAAGTTTGTGTAGAGCAGCAAACCGGATTCAAGGATTTCTTGCTTGCTTGCGAATGCTCCCATAACGTCAGCGCCATGTGATGAAGGCAATGAAGCTTTGGTTGCAGAATCCATAAAGTCCTGCCTTCCCGCTGTGCCCAACATGCCAACTGCGAATACCGGCGGAGATACTTGAGGGCCAATTGGGCTGCTTGACCCGCATCCTCTGCACTGAGCCAGGCACCTGAGCGAAAGAGCAAACGCACAAAGCCATTCAGAGCTTTGCAAGCTTCCATAGCCAAGCTCATGACTTCATCATCCGCATCGAAACTTCCATCGAGTGTTTCGAACCACTCTAGCAACGTGGTCGTCAGCGCTGCTTTGTACCAGCCTCCTGAAGGATAATCCGTGGTTGATGGCCATTGAATTAAATCTTTTGTAAGCCGGTGTGTAATCGGGGGGTGCGATGAAGCCTTGCAAAATGCCAAATATTTTTCGGTCAGCATGTTGAATCGTTCGTCGATGCCTCGAGCTGGCTCCCGCTCGGACAAAAGAGCCAAAGCCGACCCCAAAAAGTTCCGCCCCAGTCCCAGATGTATCGTATGAAAGACGTCGAAGGTGTAGTGCTCCGCCAAGCGGCCTGGTGTATGAGGCACAATGGCCATCGCAGGCGTGTCATAGAAGGGCTCTTGACGGCCCACCGTCGCCGCCCACCTTGGCCTCTTCGTGCCAATCTCCTCGAAAGGATACGCATCTGGGCCTGCGCAACACAAGTGACACATCTGATTGGCCTCTTGCTGCTCCTTCTTGACCGCGTTTGCGAAAGTTTGGCAAAGCTTGCCACTCTTTGCCAACCACGGCCAATCGCCAATCGTACGCAAGACGAACATATTAAACTTTCGACCCTCGCGATCAGTGACACCAGTCGTACACATCTCCTTCGCCTGCTCTGCCGCTCCAGCCAACAGCGCATCGAAAATGCAATCGTCTTCACCATACTGGTTGCGCGGCAGCACGCCAGCCAAAAAATGCGTAGTCAATGTATGGCCCAGCAGATTTGTCTCATGCTTGATGTATGGTTTTTTGACAGCTTTTGCTTTTTTGGCAGCTCTTTTTGCCGGGTGCGAACCACGTCCCAGCATGGACTTGTAAGAGACGACCAAAAACGCTTGGCGGCGTCGGCCGCGTCCTTCATCGCCATGGAGCACCATGGCGGCCGTCCTTGACAAGAGAAGCTCACCACGAGCCTCCATTTCGAACGCAACATGCGTTGGATCGATGGCTCTGTAGTTCTCCCACCACGCTTGCCAAATCTTTTCCTCCCGAAGTCGGTCGGGCCGACGAAGCCCAGCGAGCAAGTGCCAGCTATTTGACTTCAAAAGATACTTCGCCCAATCAGTTAAATGCAACATCGGCAGCTCGAAAGGTTTCCCTCTCACGGTCTCCGCTTCCACCGTGTGTTTTCTGATAGGTATCGGGAGGCTAAGTCCAAAATGGTTTACCAAGACTGCACGCGTGTCTCTTTCAGCATTGTGTTCTGAACACTGAGCTAGCTTCAAAAGGCCACCGACGCCCTGCGCCTGCTCATTTCCCAGGTCCTTGACCACGTTCTTTGCGGATCTCACCGCAGACGCACAGCTGGCCTCGGCGAGTCAAGCAAAACAATCGATATCATAATTCACTTTGCAGGTTTGCTGCTGAACGAATGCAACACACAACAAGTGCGAAAGCCGAGCGGTTGCTGGCAGGTTACGAACTCGGGCAAATGGCAAAATTTTTCGCGCTCCCCAAACCCCTTCGAGCACTGTCTGTGAAACCAAGTACACGAGGCCGGAGCCCCAAGAACAAACATATATGAATGCAGCTACTACATTCCGGGTCTCCTGTGAGGAGGATACTTGAAAGATCTGTACACGACATATGTCATATAATGGTCGTCTGGTCCACAAGACGGAAATTGTGTCGTCTCCCCACCAGCTTGCACATTTCTGCAGCCCTCTCTTCCTTGTCTGTCGGGAAAGAGTAAAACTTAACTTCATGTACCCAAAACCACTACGAGATTGATACCACAAAAAACATTTGCGACTCGCTGCGAGCAACCTTGATATTTCTCGATCAAGGCGGCTTCGAGCATGGCAGCACTGAACGGCTCTTTAGCAACATATAGCACATCCATATTCGTCCATTTATCGATACTGCGCGCGTAGCCGTAAATATCATTTGCCCACCGCCAGGAAGCATCATGCGTCCAGCCGATTTTAAAAATCAGCGGGCGTTGTGCATCGAACAGTCGATCCAGCTCATGCAAGCAATGTTTCAAAGCTTTACCGGAAAGTGAACCCAAAGGAGGCAGTTTGAAAGCTATGCGCCCGATACTTTCACATCGCGAATGGATCTCGGAAAGTGTTCCTGAACCATCGAGGTAAGGTTGAAGAACTTGTCTGGGATTCTGTCGTCGCAATGAAGTTGAAAGCGCTCTTGACGGTGGTTGGAGTGGTCTCTTCAGGGCAATAGATTTGCAAGCATCTGTCTCAACAAGCTTGTTGGCAGTTACCACGTCCATGCTAGTAGTCGAAGTGTCCGAAGAGTTTCTGGTTGACCACGGAAACGGAAATTTGTTGTCCTAAGCTTGGTTGCTGTTTCGTAGCACCTATAACTTATAAACATCATATATTTATTTAAACACAAAACAGATGTTCCAACGACACAAACTGAAGCTACTTGCTCAAGAGTCATCGCGGTGGCACGACAATAGTTCCATGAGCTCATCTTCGGGACTTTCACTGTCGGCAGGAATGACCATTGCTTCGGGTTAATGATTCTGGAATATAAACTATAGAGCATGTTGGTGACTTCTAGTGACCCTGTGTCTTTGCAGGCAAGTCCGATGCTTGGTCACACCGACAATATGAAGGCTTGACATATCCTCATTCAGAAGCAATCGGTCCCCTAAAATGACAATCCCATAATACCCCATGGCCCCATATAGATTTTCAGGTTTATGTATATATGCGGCCATAAACTCTTCAACCATTTAAGAATTTGTTGTCTTGAATGAGGATTTCTATATTGCCAGCTCGCGAGATACGTATATACAGCCATCCCAAGACTCGACCGTTCTTGAGCCACATCAAGCCAGTTAGGAAGCTCACGGGCCGACTCTCTAACCCTATCTCGGACACTCAGAATTGAAGCTGAGCACCACACTCCTGCCCCAATGTCGTGGGACAGCCCTTTGATGAAGTTTCCGGCTGATCCGCCTGGCCAACAGACGCTTGCATTGCAGTGGTTTGGTTGTTCAGCTTTGCAGTCGGTATTGTGCACTGACAAGGAGTCCTTTTGTGCGCCGCCCCTAGCTACTGCTCGGAACAAGAGAACGACTGGTGCTTCTGCGGCGGATCCACAGAGCAGATCAGCAGATCACGCTAGCTTTCTAGCATTGAAAGACCCATGACAGCTCGAAGATGCAACATCGGGTATCCTATGGCAGTGCCAGGACTAGGAGGCTTGTGAATCAACGGTAGCCATAACGCAGTACCGAGCTGTCAAGTTTGACATGGATCGAAGCCGCAGGTTCTGCCCGCAAGCTCCCATGTCCCCCGTAAAGAAAACCTTTGCGCCTAGGCTTTGCGAGGCTTCTTAGCCTTACTCTTGGATTTGGCTGAAGGCTTGGAGGGCTCTTCGGGTTCCGCCTTTCTCTTTGGGTTCCTGGTCTTCGGACCCTTGTCCACCTCCGTCTTCTCTTGCTTGTCGTAGAATTTTTTAGCATTCCTTTCACGGCAAAACAAGCTGAAACCCATTCGATGATCAATTTTAGGACATGCCGAGCAGCTTGATCTTCATCTCCGCGGCGGTGGCTCGGGCGCACCTGGGAAGAAGTGGGTGGGCCTGGGTTGTGGGGTAGCAGATTTTGCCCATTGTTGGGAGAAAGACGGTTTGGATAGAATTGAGATGCTGTCCGGCGGCGCCATCGTTGCGTCCTTGATCTTCTTCTCTGTCTGAGTGTGGAACCTTAAGGGCTTGTGGGCTCATTGGATTGGTAAAGGGCTGAGACTCATGAGCCCCCAGAAACCCAAAACCCGTCTAAATTAATGTTGACCCACCCAACCGTGGAAGACTGAAAGCTGCAAACACAGATTTGACCCAGGAAACTCGGCAGATTGGTCGCATGTACCGCATTGAGCAAAGGCCACATTGAGATCGTCGTAGTGTTTCTCGATCAGCGAAATGTTGTCTTCCAACGTCTTCACAGACCTGAGCATAAGGGGTCTATTATATATATACAAGACTGTTATATATAGGATACATGTTCTTACTTGGTTAGATGATTTTGTGATACCTTGCGCAGAGGAGCTTCTTGCAGTCCTCATCTTGCATGTACTTCTTCGAGAGATCACGTTGCAAGCTTCGTAGCTTCGCAGACTTGTCCATAGTCGACTCAAGAATCTTCTCCAAGGTGTTCTTCAACTGGGGCAGGGATGATGAACTTTAGATTGTGTTGAATATTTATATATATAACTCCTATAGAGATTTCCAAGGGTTCTTATAGGAGGAAGTGGGATATGTACGCCTGGTTGTTCTGGTGTTGCTTCGGGTCGATTTCCTGAAGTGGTTGAGGATTCGCTGCACGGGCGTTGTAGTCGTCCAACATCTTCTGGTCCATGAGACAGGCCGGCGGCGTGGGCATCTCCACACCCTGTGTTTGGAGCAGCAAGAACGTTTGGGGATTAAGAGGGGTTTTTAGGGTTCGGGAGTTTCATAAATTTTGGGAATTGAAGCGGGCCTGCTGCTCCTCCTTGTGACTCTTCTCACGGCTCTGCTCTTGCTCCCTGATACCTTTCTCCTTCACCACCACCCAGTACTCCATCTGACCGTCATATCGATTCTTCCTGTTGGCAGTCACTGGCATCATTGAGGGCGGGAGGCTTAGGATAAAGGGTCTTGGTACAGAGCGCTTTGGAGAACCCAAAATCTGGGATCGGTAGACAACCCCGCACCGTCCCCGCCTGTAGAAGCTTGGTCCCGCCTCCATACAAGCCTGGATAGCTCCCTTCCGCTTCTTCCTTGGTTGATACCGGTTGCTTGAGATGCTTCGGAGATTTGTGCAACTTTAATCTGAGGGTCTCGGACCAATGAAGGTCTTCCTCCATCTCCTGCTCGCTGTACCAACCTTCCTCCACCTTAAGCTTAACGGAAACCTTGGTCTTGACGATCACCTCCAGGCGAGTCAGGAACTTGTCCTGCCAACGGATGGGCTGGAATCATGAATGTTAGAGAGTTCACCTTTGGGGGAGGGGTTAGGGATCTCGGAGTTATATCCTACACATGTCTTATCTTTCTGAGGAATTTCAATCCCGAGTAAGTATGAATTTGAATTGGCTTGTGCCAGATCATACGAGAGCAAGGGGTTCTCAGAGCTTCCTGATTTTTTCTTAGGGCGTGTTGTGAATATATATATATGTACAAATGGTTAGAATCTGTTAGGAGTTTTATATAGGGATGATTGTGTCTTGTTTCCCTCCTATACATATATACATACACCTTAACCACCCAGACCCAACTAAAAAGTCGGCGGACCACAGTGAGAGAGAGAGAGAGAGAGAGAGAGAGAGATTCATATAGACTCGTATGGGTGGTTTCCGGGTTTAGACTAATTAAAACATATATAGGTATATATAACACAAGCAAAGCACTAGCAAGGGCTTCGGGCTTTGGGTTTGGATTTAGCTTTGTGCTTAGTGGCCTTGTCGAAGTTCTGCTGCTGAAGCACTGTAGCGATCTGGGTCTTGTCTCCTTCCGCCCATTCCTTGCGTACCCACTCGGGCACGTCCAAATCGCGCCGGCGGGATTTGGGCTTGCACATCCGGTCGATCCGGGCCTTCGCGGCCCGCAAGAGCCTTTCCTTATGAGAGCCAAGAATTGTTATATCATATATGATGTGTACACACAACCGTGTTGCATGACTTAAAGATATGGGACCTGCCGGGTGGGTGCTCTGCGCTTCTTGACATCGGAATCACCATCAGGAGGCAGCCCGCGATTTTTCGGAGGCGGGGTTTCCAACTCCTCGTCAGAATCCGGCTCCTTCTTGATTGAGCTGAGTCTGCCCAAAGTGTCACTCAGCATCTGCAACAGCATCACGTCGGCTTCGGCTTCCTAAGCTTCAGATCAAGCAGTGGCTTAAGAAAAACCAAGGACAAGTAATCAGTAAGCGAGCTTGCATTCCGAATGGCAATCTCGTCTGCATCGTCAGAGTCGCCATGAGCATCCTCATCCTCAGAGAGAGAGAGAGAGAGAGAGAGAGGCAAAGAGAGAGAGAGCAAGAAAGAGATTGTCCAGCAGATTTTCTGAGCACGAGTGAAAGCGAGAGACAGAGAAGAGAGACAAAGAGAGAGCCTCACTCCAAAATGAAAAGGTTTTGTGTCGACTCAGAGTAGCTCCAAGATTGGCGCGGTTTGTGTGTGTGTGTGTGTGCACATCAGCTTTTGTTCTGTGACCCGATCGGGAGAGAGAGGGAGAGAGAGCGAGAGATTCGAGAGAGGGAGAGAGAGTCAGAGAGAAGACTTTGCAAAACAACACAGCAGTTGCGTGCCCCTTCAGTTCCCATTCGAAACCAATCAATTAAGACTGTTTCGACTAGCTGCTTCTTCGCCCGAAGTGATCATCTGATAAGCATCCTCGGCAGCAGATTCCCCAGGCTCCGGTCCCAAACCTGCTTCGCGAAGCTGAGAATCTGAAGCCTCAGATGCAAAGATCAAACCCTTTGGAACTCGATCGAACCGAAGCTCGTGCACAGTGCCCATGAACTCAGGATTCTACTGGAAGAGTTGCGACTTCCTGCGGCGACTCTGCGACCTGGGTCGTCTCGACCGACTCTGCAGCAGGACCGGGGAGATGCTCTGGCATTTCCTTTAGGCAGTGGGTGGTTAAGGTATGATATTATATCAGGGTGGAAGGACAAAGAAATCCTTGACTTACCATTGCCTGGCCTCTGCTGATGCATCCTCGTCAAGCAAGCGCTGTAGGTCCTGCCAGTGGTTTTGTGTGGTCCAGGATTTAATTTTGGGGTTCAGCGCTCATGTACGGAGTTAAGAAAAGGCGAGAAGAAGACAAATCTCGAAAGTGTGTTTCCCTGCATCGGTCCTCAAGTTCCTTCACGCAGGAAGCTGCATCCAGAGGTAAAGACGCTTCGTCCACATGCTCTAGCCCCTCGTATAGTGAACTACACGACCACAACTTGGAAACAGAAGTAGAGGGCGCCATGGCGTTTGCCAGGCACAGCCACTCTCAACTCTAGAAACTTGAGAAGACTTTGAACAAAGCGGAATAGTTGAGTATCAGTTTAAGTGCAACACCGTACAGCTCGTGTCCCGCAGAAGCAGATCAGAATTTGCTCTTTCCAGCAGCGCACAGCACTAGTGGCAGTCGTTGGCTGTGGGACAAACCACAAACCTTTCAAACAAATTCCCGCCCAGAGTGCTTCAAAAGCGCTTGGAACGGCTCTGGTTTGACCTAGGTACAACCCCGGGTTAACCCATGACCGCGTCATGGGTAAATCACGGG